GAGAAAACCTTATTATAGTCAATACCTTCTTCCTGTGCATAGCCCTTCGCAACCAACCTAGCTTTGAAACTCAATGGAGTGCCCTCAATACCCTCCTTCTTTGTGTACACCCACTTGTAACCAATTGCCTTCCATCTCTTTGGAAGCTCAACAAGCTCCCACGTATCATTCTTGTGAAGAGACTCCATCTCCTCCTGCATAGCTACCTGCCACGAATCAGCCTCCGAACTCTGCTCGGCCTCTCTGAATGTAGTAGGCACCATCTCCTTGATACTCTCAACCGGAAGTGCATACGTAACTACTGTATTGGTATACCGTGCTGGCATTGTATGTCTCTCCTCTGTCTTCGAACCACAATAGAATCTTGAACCTGAGCCGTCGGTCTCTGATCCTGCACAACTGTACCCGTATCCTCCTCGTTATCGTCGTGCTCGCTTGGCGTCACCTCAGTCGGCACTCTAATGGATACTGTACCATCTGGACAATGTGGAGCTGCATCGATCTCCACCACCTGTGATATCTCCTCTGTCAGGTCGCTCTCCACCTGATGAGAGTTGGGAAGATTTAAGATAGAAGCCTCATCGAATGTGACGTCCCTACTCAGCACAATCTTTCTTTTAACTGGATCCCATAGCTTGTATCCCTTGACACCATGCTTGAATTCTATAAATATGACCTTCCTAGCTCGAGGTTCTAATTTATCTGTTCTCACATGATAAAATGCAGGGCACCCAAATATCTTTACCTGGTCATAGTCATGTGTTGGCTCTCCTGACCATATTTCCATGGGGATTTTCCCCTCAATCGCAGATGAAGGCAGCCTATTAATGAGGTGGCTCGCATATATAAGTGCCTCAGCTCAAAAGATCTTCTCCAAACCACTCTGCGATAATAAACATCGGACCTTCTCCAACAAAGACCGATTTAGCCTTTCTGCCACCTTATTTTGTTACGGTGTATGACTAACCGTGAAGTGCCTCTCTATACCCTCGTCTCGACATAGCTACAGAAAAGGGTCTGAAGTATATTCACCACCATTGTCGGATCGCAACGTCTTGATCTTTGCCCTAGTCTACAGTTCCAATCTCTTCTTCCACTCCACAAACAAATCTAGGACTTCATTCTTATGCTTCATGGTGTACACCTTTTCATCTTCTTTATTTGTTTTCCAGTTCCTTTCCAAGCAAATTAATCAGAAATGAGTTTTTTATTTTTGTGATATGGGTTGATGTTTCAAGTAGTCGCTTTTGGGGGGGAAAAACTTGAAAGAAACACAGGAATATGAACAAAATTATAAGAAGAGCTGAGGTGTAGGATTGAGGAAATATGATGCGGACTGATTGAACCGATCGAACAAGCTATCTTATTTGTTATGGTTTGATTTGATTTTTATATCGCTTTCAATTCAGGTCGAGTGCAGAGTTTATGAGTCAATTAGGACCGAACCGACCACCTCACTTTAATGTCCACCTGTGACCGATTTAGCCTTTCTGCCACCTTATTTTGTTACGGTGTATGACTAACCGTGAAGTGCCTCTCTATACCCTCGTCTCGACATAGCTACAGAAAAGGGTCTGAAGTATATTCACCACCATTGTCGGATCGCAACGTCTTGATCTTTGCCCTAGTCTACAGTTCCAATCTCTTCTTCCACTCCACAAACAAATCTAGGACTTCATTCTTATGCTTCATGGTGTACACCCAACAACGCCTAGAATAGTAATCTACGAATGTGACGAACTAATATCGACCACCAAGTGATGCAGTCTTGGTGGGACCCCAAACATCTACGTGCACGTAGTCCACTCGTCCTATGAATAGTTGTCTCGAACTTCACCTTCGTCTTCTTGCCAATAACACAGTACTCACAGAATTCTACTTTACCACTCTTGGCTCCCTTCAATAGCCCATGTTTACACAAAGCTTGCAGTGACTTCTCTCCTGTGTGTCCCAACATATAATGCCAAAGCCTACTCATGTCTGCCTTTGAAATAGCCGAAGCAACCTAGCTCGGTGCTCCCCTTTAGATAGTATAAATTTTGACTGCAGACTCCCTTCACCATCACCAAAAATCCCTTAGTAACCTTTGCTACAACATTTTCAAAGGTCATCTTGAATCCCTTTGCCTCCAAAACTTCAACTGAGATAAGATTCTTCTTCAGCTGAGGAACAAATCCCACCTCCTTCAATTCATGAACTACTCCATCGTGCATCCGGATCCGTACTGTACCTATCCCACAAATACCACAGGATTGGTCATTTTACATGACTACAACTCTCCTATCGAGCTTCTCAAAAGATGCAAACCAGTCTCGCCTAGGGGTCACATGATAGGTAGCGCCAGAATTAAGCATCCAATCTGATGCATCCAAGTGGTTCACCTCCAGAGTAATCAGTAGAGAAAAGCTCGAATCATCTGAATCATCACCTTTCGCAACGTTCACTTTATTGGCCTTCGGGCCCTTTTTCTTTCTATTCTCCTTCTCTTTGATCTTTGGACAATCTCTTTTCCAATGTCCCTGCTCCTTGCAGAATACACATTACAAGTAAAATGATGAAGTGTCAAGGAAAGCAAAATCCCCTCAAAATGGAGAGATTTCAACGGAAAGCTGACACAATGTCAGTAACAAAGAGTAACAAGTTAAAAAAACCTTGCTAATCGTAGGCTCTAGCTACCTCTCCCTTGCAAAAAGAAAAAATAAAGCCAAAAAAATAAAATCCTCTTCAACCTCTAATCCAAAAATCCATGAGCAAGCTTCACACTCCGGTGAGCTTCACTGCTGGTCCCCCCACCTACATATCCTCTCCTCTCTGCCGCTCACAGCAAGAAGAAGACCACCAAATCACCCAAATTGATGGAACTTCCCAAGAAAAATCGGCCTCATAGGGAAAAAAAGAAAAAAAAAGAAAAGAAAAAGAGAGTATGTATCATAGTGGCCGGCGAATGATTTTAGTTACTATTTGAGGCAATGATTACGATGAGGTCGAGATGCCTGTGGATGATTTTGGTTTGGATATGGTGACGATGGCCATGAATTTCATGGGTTGTAGTCATCTAAACAAGAAACTATGATGAGTATACTTCACTCTCCAAAAAAAGCAATTCTTGTTTAGTGCTAGTTATAGCCTAATGATACAAGCATTTCATGTATTTATATTTATTTATGTATTCATTTTATTTTGTTTTAGTGAAGTAGGAAGGTGTTCAGAAGACTGTTGTCCGGGCGGTTGTATGAAATATAGAGTAAGAATTTATGCTATATGGTTTTAATTGTATGGTTGTGGATGAATTAATTTTGTGATACCTAGGTTCTCTTTGATCTTTGGACAATCTCTTTTCCAATGTCCCTGCTCCTTGCAGAATACACATTGGTTCTTTCTAAGCTGGTGATGACCTCTTGACTTTGACCTTCCTCTATTACCACCTTTCAGATATGGTCTTCTATCTCTCGTCGACAAGGCCTCGCCTGAAGTACTAGCACGGGAAGTCTCCAGTCCTTCCTCCTCAAATCATAACTCGTCCATACATTAGTAACTTCACTATAGCTGATAGAAGATCTGTCGTTCAAGAAAGTGAGCACAAAAGTATCATACTCCTCATCCGGTAAGGAGCCCAATAAGATAATAGCCTTGTACTCATCCGAAATATTCTCATCAACATTCGCCAAGTCCGACCACAACTTCGTATAGTTGTTCACATGAGCCGCAAGCGAGGTGCCTCTGGACATCTAGAATCTGAATAATCTTCGTAGTAAATGCAATCTGTTCTCGATACTTTTTGTAAGATACTTGTTGTTGAGAATTTCCCACATCTTCATTGCAAACGTCACCCCGATCACATCAAACTTCAGCTCCTGTTCCAAACAGGACCTTATCACCCCACAAGCGTTCCTATTCATCTTTTTCCATATCGCCTCTTCATATTTTGGTGGTTTCTCCTGGACCATGATGGTCTCCTCCAAGTTCTGAGCATTGAGCGCATCCTGTATGTCGTTCATCCACAACCGAAAGTTGATTTTACCGTTATACTTCACCATACTAATTTTTATGTTCTGAAAACCAACTTGAACTGTACTCGCCATCGACTTGCTGCTTTCACCTTCTTCTCCCATTGTAAACTAACTCCAAGTTATAGAGAAAGAATCAAACTTTAATAGAAATTAATAATTACCTAACCAAACCCTAGATCGGATTCCAAATAGATCTCCTATCCACATGAGAAAAACGAAATCTCCAACGGCAACTCCTAATGTTATCTCCACCAAAGCCTAGAACTCCAAGAACCAAGCTTCACACAAGAATCTTCCTCCACCTAATTCCAAAACCCTGGATCTGAAATCTGGGCTCTGATACCACTTGTTGCGCGCAGCGAAAATTTTGACAGCACTTCGGCAGCACAACAAGAGAGTCAGGTCGCAATAGGAATTCCTGTTGCACAAAGGAAACAAGAACCTTAAGCAAAACATCCCAACCAAGTGAGATATCAGCTCTTTCTCTCATCCGTTCTAGGACTGACCTGTCGAGGGAACCTAAATAAGCTATTATAAATAACACAAATAGCGAGACAAACTAATTTTACGTGGTTCGGCAAATAGCTACGTCCACGGGGCAAGGAGGGGGGAGATCTACTACTAGAGAAAGAGAATACAAATTAGGTTTACAATCACACAATTAAACCCTCACACAAACTCTCAAATCTCTCACAAATATCTCTACCAATGGATGCTCAAAACCCTAACAAAAGCCTTCTCAAGTCTCCACTTTTTCCTCTGCGTCCGCAAAAAATCCTTGCACTGTGCAGCCGAAAAATTCACAGCCCAAAGAAAATTGACAAACCTCCTTTTCACCACCCGAATACCTAGAAAACTAGGTCTTTATAGCCTATATGCGGACGAAATTTGAAACCCGCTCGTACCCGAACAAAATCAAAAACGCCTTGTACCCGAACGAAATCAAAGACGCGAACTTCACGTGGGTGTGGCCCCCACAAAACCACCACGAAACCACAAGCTTTATATCTTATTCACTCAATACAAATGAGTTTCAACCAAAACATGTACATCAAGTGCTCTTTAAAGAGAGAGCACAATAAGAAACCAACATCAGAAAATCAAAACGGGGCAAGCAAGCTACATAAAATGGGTGTGCAAACCCCAAGAACTAGACTACTTAACCAACTATGAAGCAAATCAAAATCAGCTAATTCTCACACTTAACAAATTGAGGGAATATATGCATAGCTTCACACCAAGCTCCGTTCTTCCTTGTATCTTTAAGCCTATCAATCTTGCTACATTGGATCTTTTGCCTTGAAATACAAAGACATTTCTAGCAATCCACAATATAGTATAGGCAAGCAGCAGCAGCAGCAGTAGCTCTTTTTTACATGGTTTATTGTAGGGTTACCTCTCCATCTTCTCGCCATCCAATCCGTGGACTCATCCCAATTGCCAGGAACATTCATTTCTTGTATGAACTCCATAGCTCCTCTCCAAACATTTTTGGGGGAAAAATCACAGTTAAAGTAGAGATGAGTTCTATTCTCTGAATATAAACTGCACAAAGGACATAGATCATTATCGAGTATGCCATACTTTATTAGCTTCTCTTTGTAGGCAATCTGTTTAAGCAAATCATCTAGAAAATGAATGAACGTCTTGGAATGGTGAATTTACTCCAAACAGTAGTAGCCCAATTCTGTTTCTCCAAAACACCAAATAACATTTTACAAGCTGAGGAGGTACAGAAATGTGGCTTATCCCCTCTCCATTGTAAAGTAGAACTAGTGAAGTCCACACAGCGTGGAGCAAACTCTTGGAGCAAACTCTCTGAGCTTTAGGAGCTTTCTACAACACCATGAATGTTGATATTTACCTGTTATAGACCAAAAACTTTGAGTTTTTAAGTAGTATCTGTTAGGTCTCATGTTTATGAGCCTACTATCTAATCTAGTTTTGATGATTAACAAACAATTCCTAACAACGTTTGTCGAACGTTTATATTTGCTTGTTAGGAATTCTACACAAAGATCCTATGTTGGCGGTTGGTTGGAATTAAGCTTAACAACGACATTCGGTGGAGGTTGGATGGATTTGCGCGTTCACGATGATACACAAAGGAGGTTCGAGGATATAGGAATGAAGCCGTCATAATTCAAGTCAAGATCAACATTGCTTCATCCGCAACCAAGACGAGCTATAATGAAGATCAATTGCTTGGGTATAGTATTTTAGGTTTATACTTCGTATGTTTATACTTAGAGCTCAAAATTCATACACTCACATTTGTTTTGATTTATTGTTTATTTTTTATTTTTTATTTATCGCCATCTTGAATTAATAGACTTAACAACACAATTTTATATTTTTCCAAGTCTATTAATCTGTTTTAAAGTGTTTCAAAACTTTTTTGAAGAAATTTCATCAAAATCAAGTTTTAACGTTTTCACATTTTTGAACGGCTTGCAATATAAATTATTTTGCACAAATAGGAAATGTAATTTGAGAAATTCTTTTTCTAACATGTTATATTATATTTTTATAAACATTTTCCAAAGTTTTACTAATTTTAGAATTAATTTGTTATTTTCAATTGAATTTACAAAAATAGATTTTCAACAGTTTTTCAGAATCTAGAATATCTATCTTAAAATAGTGATTTCTAACAAATGGAAAACGATATTTTAGAAATTCTTTCTCTAACATGTTTATCTACATATTTTGAAACTTCCCTCAAAACTTTACGATTTTTGTAGTTGATTTGATGTTTTTAATTGATTTTATAAAGTCAGCTATGTAGATTTTCAGGTTTCGGATTCTGTGAACAGTGTTGATGAACAGTACGGTCGACCGAACACTGTTCATGGGTCGGCTGAACATTGTTCATCAGTCGACCGAACGGTGATCCATTGCGATGACTGCTAGTTTTTTTAGATTTTAATTTTTGGTATTTTTCTTGGGTTTTGGGGTATTGTTTTGAGCAACTATAAATACCCTTCAGCCCTCGACACTTACTATCAACAAAGAAAAGTTTTAAAACAAGTTTTTACAAGTTTGTTTCAAGTTTTCAAAAATTAAAAGTGTGTTTTAGTTTTGTAAAGAGAGTTTCACAAGAAGAGGAGATCATCTCGGTTTGAGCTTCAAGCTTTATATCTCCATCTCTCTTGTTTTAGATAAGTTTTTCTAAACTCGTCTTCTAACTATCTATTATTTAATCCTCATATTTATGCTAGATTGATTTGAGCTTAATTTTGATTTTATTATACTCATTGTTTACACACACACCCATTGAGCTTAAGAATTTTCACACATAGTAATTTGAGTTGTGGGTTGTATCTTTGAGAGTGAGCCTAAACTTAGTTCTCATCTTGTTAGAGAATAAATAATTTGTATTTGAGCTTATTTATCGAGAGATCACGTTGTAATACATAAGTACACCAAGAGGAGTGGTTGGTGAGAGACGTGGTTGATTACAAGAGAAGTGGCGTCGGTTGTAAAGTCTAGGGAGAGGTTGTAAATCGGAGCACTTGAGGAAGGTGACACGTGAGAGGCCAACACTTAGAGAGTGTGTTGTGTGATTGCATTATGAGAGTTGTAAATGTTTATCGGTGAGTGTTGAAAACCGATTGTGTAGTTTTTTTGATTGATAGTGGAGATTCTTCTCGAGGGTGAGGAGCGGAGACGTAGGTCGAGGGTGACCGAACTTCGTGATCATTTATTTTTGTTTGAGTTTTGGCATTGGTATATTTTTATTGTCTCATTGTTTATATCGCCTATTGCTTCATACTTGTTTATCCTTACATATATCTCATTGCATAATCATACTTACTAGGATAATTATTAATTAGTTTTTAATTTGGCATTATAATCGGATTAGATTAGTAAATACCCTATTTACCCCCCTCTAGGGTAATTTTATTGGTATCAGAGCTTTGTGCTCTTTGATTTATGGCTTAACCGCCTAGAGTCAAAGATTCTCGCTTTGCTATATTGCTAATCTAGTTTTGAGATTATTTTTATCTTGCTTGCATATATTTATTATGGACATGAACGGTGCACCTAGTTTAGGTTATGCTATTAATATTGCTCTAAGAATTGATAATTTCCCCTATGCTCAATGGTGTGTTAGATTTAAACTTTTTGTTAGATCTTGACACTTTAATTTATGAAAAATAATCGATTGTGCTTATATTGTATCCACTTTGGAGAAATCCAAGTGGAGTAAAGATGATAAAAGGATGCTTACCACGAACAAGTTTTTGTTAGAATTTATACTTATTGCTTTTGACTCATCGATATCTAACAAGCTTGATTCGTTTGATAGTGCTTACACATTGTGGAAATTCATAGAAGCACATCAAGGAAACTTGGAGGAGATCCGACGAGCTTTGGTGGATTCCACTTCAAGTTTAATTCGAGCATCATCGTACACACAGCCACTAGGCGATAGCCCTAGTGAGGTATGCGAGTCTAATACCGATGATAATTTATCTATTGATGAACTTGCATGTGCATATGAAAAATTAATGCATGCCTATAACAAATTGTATAAAAATTTTATAAATTTAAAAAGCAAGCATATTGAATTGAATTCCGATCATGAGTCACTAGCTTCTAAATTTGATATTATTGTTAAAGAGAATGTGACTCTCAAAGAAAATAATAAAAAAATTAAAATTGGATCATATTGTTTTGACTTCAAAAGTTGCTAATTTAACTCATGAGAAAAACACTGTCATATTAGAAGTAAAGAACATTAGAACCGAGTTTAATTCTTTTAAAAATAATCATACATGTTCTACTTCTAATAACAATGCTTTTGTGCAAGAAAATAAGTTAAATCATGTTAAAAATCGCATATCATCTTTAGATTCAATACTAAAAACATGCATTGTAGATAATAATAAGCATATGGACTTGTGTGCAATGTTCAGTGTAAAGTTTTCTAAAAAACTCACATACTATGAACACATATATAACAAAGTTTATAAATGCTCTATTTGCGGCCGTAAATACCATCTTGCAAAATTTTGTTATGATGTACATAAGCCCACAAAATCCAATAATGTTTCTACTTGTGCATCCCATCAAGGTTCATCACATCATACACATACACAAGCACACAAAGTATATCATAAGCATGCGCATGTATATAAATGTGATTATTGTGGTCATTTTGGTCATTTGACCAAATTTTGTTTTGTCATTTGACCAAAATTTTTTTTGATTTGAAAAGAGTTTCTCATTTAAAAAATACTTTTAAAAGACCATCTATATTTGCAAATGATTCCCGTGCACAACCACAAAGTCAACAAAAACAAATGCGCTTATTTTATTGCACATATTGTAATCGAAAGAGTCATTTGTACAATTATTATTATGACCGTGTTCATGCACCAAATACGCCCAAATGGGATCATAACTCAAGGGTATTAAGCTTAAATGATAGGGGTCATATCTCTAAACCCTCCGGCACCAAAAATATTCGGGTACCAAAAACCGTTTGATTTCAAAACAAGTTTCTAGCGTTTTCCGTTTTCGTTTCTTCTTTTGAAAAACGTATTTACAAAACTTATTTTTGACAATATAATGATCTAAATTTTACTTAAATGAAGACAAAACTTACTTTTGGAATGACAGTTCTTATTGATTGATTTTGTTACATACGACAATTTTTTATTGACTTTGATGAAAAACTAGATTGTTTTTGGTTTCTCATTATATGTTATGATTTTTATTGGTTTCGACTTCAAGGGCGTTGTTTATGACGAAACCTTTGCACTAGTTGCAAGGATAGAGTCAACTCTTATGTTTTTAGCATTTGATAGGTTTAAAGATTCAAATCATCCCAAATGCATATTAAGAAATGCCTTTTAAATGATTTTATAAATGAAGAGGCTTATGAGCAAATCCCCAGATTTAATGATCTTTTTCTTCCAATTATGTTTATTGGATGCAAAAAGTTTTATATGGGTTGAAACAAATTCCAAAAGATGGGTATGCTCGCCTTCCATATTTTCTTGTCGAATATAATATAACTGATCTTTGTTTGTTGTATCCAAAGCACACTTTTTTAATCGTTATGGATGAAACACATAAATGTTCAACATTAATGTTTGCATAGCAAGATGTGTCCCTTATTCTTTTGATGCAATATCTCTAGTAGTGGACATCTTACCAAGCCTCCTTGTGAGAAACTTTTTAGGTGAATTGGGCATATTTATCACTTGAATCATGTTTGCTCGATCATGTTTTTTAATGATCTTTTATGATTCTTGGCTTTTATGGATTCATGAATTCTCATGATTTTCCTTAATGAATTTTCATAAATACTTTCATAATTATTTTCATGATTTTTTTTCATTTGGATTTCCTTTGGTCTATGATTTTCCCTCATTTAAAAATATTTTTTCTCGATTTAAATCTTGTTTGGCTCTTATTTGGATTCATAATTATCTTTTATAGATTTTCATAAATATTTTTAGATAAACGCTTTAGATCCTCGTTTTGTTGAAGTTTTATATTTTAACTTTACTTAGATGGTTTTTTTTATAATGAGACATTTTTTTATATATATATATATGTCTCCTTTGTGTGTGAGCTATGATTTGTATATGTTTTTTGGCTCACATATAGCCGCCTTGTTATCATTTGATATATACTTTGTGGCTTTTTGATAGGGGAGCTTTTTCTCTATATTTTGTTTTTATACTCACCCATGCTTATTTGTAGGAGGAGCTTAACACTCTCTTTCTCTCTTGTTGTTTTCTCCATTTTAATGTTAACAAAGGGGAAGAAACAAGTCAATTATGAGTATATCATTTTAATGATTTTATGCAAGAGGATTATAATTTGTATATTCATTTGGTATCATGC